ATAACCGCCTGTACTCCACAGTCATATGTACCAATTCTTTGTAAAAGCAGGGAGTCAAGTGATAAATACAGATCATTCAACTTATGTTGGCAAATTTCTATAAAAACATTCGAAGAATTGTGAAGCAGCAAACGTATTGTTTACTTCTCCCCTAATATCCATATTATTAAGAGAAATTCACTAGTGACCTAGAAAAACAGGAGGATACACATTTGAATATGAGAGAAAACTCATGGGCAACAAATTTTACAACAGTATCGATTAACATTAATATAGATGAATATGTGCTCTATAATTCGGCACGTCATCGCCGCATGTATAACTCCACGATTTTACGAATATATCCTATGGAAAAGGGGATGAGAATAAAACAGACAAGGAAATAGCATTAGATCAGTAAGACTTTTGTCCCTCTGTATATATCTCAATAAAGGAAACCAACAGAGTCTGAACATTGACTGTTCCGTATCTTTATATTAACACGCTTAAAATATGTTGAATATGAGGAGAATAATAACGAATCTAGGAATATATCTCTTCTTCTATCCTCACGAACAACTAGAAAGAGACAATAGAGAGAAAGTAAAACAACGCGCCGTTAAAACAGCCAACGAGCGCACGATTAACCAAGGAAGAAGGGAATGATAAAGTAAATCGGGGGGAGCAAAAACCACGTGGAAACGAAGAGTGGGCAATTATGCTTGTGAGAGCCTGCTTAAAGTCAAAACTGTAAATCCGGAGCGAACAGCATTAAATGGTTAACCGTAAAGAATAGACTTTAGAGGCTGATAACAGAGCCAGAAACAAGAAGGAGAGGTTCTTAACCATAGAGCTTGCACAATAAATCATAGGACACAGACACTCGACATTGGAAACCAATTAATAAAACACATATCAGAACCATAAGAAGTAAAGAAGAAGAAATACAAGATGTCGCCCCAAATTCATACCTGTAGAAACTAAGCATATTGCCAAACGCAGAAACATTCGGGGAGATACCCTGAAGAATAATAGGACCAAATACACCAAAGCACCTGGCAGCATGAACGATAGCACATACCCCTGACCAGTGCACAGTACACAACTAGTATAGACCGTAAAGCTAGGGCATGCAAGAACCACCCTACACTTCATGAGACACAGATAGACACTAAGGATATTCGATCAGTCCTACACACTAAAACTGAATCCACAACCATGGAATCTGAGCCGTACACCGTCAAGATATGGCAGAGGATCCTAAGCCTAAGGAGATAAGAAATAAAAACAAGCAGCAGAAATAAGGAGGCATATGTAAAGAATTAACCGTAGGAATAAAGAATAAAGGGTGCCAGTACACGCTAAGCCACAGACCTCACTGATAAGCCGTGGAGGCTGAGCCATGGAATATACAGCCTAGGGCCCAAAACATACAACCCAAACACTACCTCGTAAATTCTAGACACCTAAGGATGATCACAGTACAAAGGGCGTATAATCAGTGAATCTTACCCGCCTAAAATAACTTATCCAACAGTACTAATAGACGCTAAAGGGTAAAGAAAACCCCCCGGCCATACACAGGACCCTGGAGGCGTAAACATAGAGGATAAAGCCTGACAAATACACTCAAGAGTGGAACCAGGAGGATAAAGAATAAAGAATTAATCCTAAACATTAAAGAATACAGAGTGAACAATAAAACATGACACAACCCCACAACACCATAAGCTCACAGCGCAATGCCATGGATAAAACCCGGATGAGACAGGTGCTTACACCCTGCAACCTAACTGCGTACAATTGAAGCCTAAAGACCAAGAAGTACAGGTAAAACATATAGAGAGAAATGTACTATTTAACAAAACTCCATAGGAATACAGCCCTCAAAATTACAGGAAACTAAGCCAGAGAAGAGTGAAACAGAGGGAGAGCAGGCATAAGCAATAATGGGAGCAACCTAGAGACTCAAACAAGAGGCCGACAGCACTGCTTAGGCAGTACGAGATAGAATCCATATAATGAGGAAACTGGAAAGGGACTGAAAAGCTACCTCTGCGATATACATTTCCAATCTCTACGCCAAAGCATTGCATGTGCGGAAGAGTGCATGTAGCATGGAACTTATTTCAGAATCAATCAGCCTTAAGCTATACCTGAGACCCCATACAGGTTAAAGTCCAGGAATTAACACAGGGAGAGCAGGGCTCAGACTCCAGGGCCTAAACCCCAAATCGAAAACTTAATCATTCTGGGCTAAGAGATACAGCCTAAGGAGTGAAACCTAAGAAATTAACAATGTCTACAAGGGCAATGACGAGGAACCATAGAAACAGAAGAATGGGAAGTCAAGTCCTAAAGAATAAACTATGAACCTAACACGATAGCCTAGGACTGTGAACATGAAGTCTAAATGTGCACCTTAGGCGTTTAAACTAGAGGCGAACCCCTAAGAAATTGACTCGTAATAGAGAAAGAGAGCTTCCAAATTATAACCATTAAACGGAACAAAATAGACAAAGACACAAGGAGAATTATAAGTTGAGCCTAACAGCTAAAGAAGAAAAAGGGCCCCCTAAAAGACAAGCAGGGAAAAATACAGAGTAATCCAGGAGCAACCAGGAATAGGGGCAGAGTTGGGGGCCTGAAACTAGGAATAGCCCCTGGAGCCTAAACCTCAGCTCAAAAGATATAGGCATAAGCCACGCAAATTCCAGAGGACCCAGCCCCCCCCCCCCCACATAAACCTGAGGCCCCACATTCTATAAAGTACAGGGGCCCCCTTGACACACTAGGACCGCAGCCCTGAACCCTGAACTTCCATGCTTGGAAACGAAATCTAAATCAACGAGGCTAAATCCTCGACATTACGTCGTACAATATGAAATCTAAACCTACACCGTAAGGCCAAACAATTACAGACAGCGCACAAGACAGGGAGGAAACCATGAGTCCTCAAGGTCAAGCCGACGAATCAGGGGGGGGGAATCTCTTCCGTAGGAGCCAAGTTAAAGGAAGGTGCATGGTAGAAAGCAGAGAATCCATCTCCAGGTGTGAAACGAAGAAGCTGAGAATAAGGAAGGAGTAGTAACCGCAAAAGCAAAGGGCATAACATGTACGTACGCCTCTTGTATAAGCCGTAAGCGCTAAACAGTGAAACTACACATACGTTGAGGTACAAACAAATGACAGGTAACAACTATAGTAGTAACCAATCAGGAATGAGGTCGGCCTCCTGTAAGGTACACCTTGACGGCTAAGGCGTAAATATTAAGACGGAGAAGCTGCCACATGAGAAGTAAACATTATGTCCTGGTATCATAACATCTAAAAACTGAAATATGGGGAACAAACCCTAAGAGATGAGAAGGGGACCCAAACTGGGAAACTTAACAAATAGATATTAAACCCCAGCCGTAACAAGATAAAATAAAGGCGCACTCGTTTTCCCCGTAAAACAAATAAAACCTCCTACACATTAAAGCACTGAGTCTAGACGGGGGCAGAGAAATATCTGAACTAAATCATGGAATCAGACACAGGGGGAAACCGCGCAATCACTAGAGTCTATGGATAAGACCCTGGATACCTCTAGTGTAAACCGTAAGGAGATCACCAAGGGAGAGTTAAGAGCTCCACAATGACTCACCAGAAGTTAAGAGAGAGAACACCATGCCAGGACCAAAAGTAGAGAATAACAGCAACAAGCCTAACAACTCAGGGTGTAGCAGAAAGTTTCCTGAGACCATGGTTCTGATGATAACAACAAGAATATAATGCTTAAGGCCGAATCCCTCAACACCCAACCGGGCACCCTATACCGTAAGACATAGGGCTAAAAAGTTCGAGTGAACACTAAAAGATACACCCTAGGGTATAAGGCCTATAATCTAGAGCCTGGAGCCTGATTGATAGAAGGAAACGCAAGGGCGAACACTCTAAACCGTAGAATCATAGTCCCTAATGCTTAAGCCCAGAATGTGTCAAGTAAGAATTAAGCCCTGAGTCCAGAAATCTGGACGCTAAACATCGGCACTTGAGCCTATATAGCCTGACCGCTAAACCTGGATCATAGACCCTAAATCTAACAGCTTAGTCCCTAAACCATACACCCTGGAAGCCTGAAGCCTGAAACATAGACCTTGAAACCTAAACCTAAACTCTAAACCTAAACTCTAAACCTAAACTCTAAACCTAAACCCTGAATCCTAAACCACAAATTCAGAACCTAAACCATTACTCTCACACGCCCGGATCCTGAACCTTAGACTCTAAACGGAAACCCACCATCTGAAGGATAAGCCATGACCCAGAAACTAGAAACGTCAGCTTGGAAACCAGAATTCTAGACCCTGCACCTTGAAGCGAGAGACTGGGAATCTTATCCAGAAGCTCCTAAGCTCTTAACGGTAATTATTCAGCAGTCAGAACTCTAGGCTAATCCTATTCGTACTGCAAGAAAGTTGAAAATCCAAAATGTCAAGCCACCAATCCAATTCACGGAACGCACCTACCCCAACCCCCAAAGTGGTAATCGCTCAGGCCGCATCCCGACCCTAGGTATTGATACGCCAATCCCTCCACCTGGACCCAGGGATTCCACATCACGAACCATGCCTTCTTAATTGCCCAACTCTTAAGATCCCCGGCTCAACGTCGCGGTTGCTGTATTCAAATTTGGTCCTTGGGTTCCTATCTTCTGTTCCGTAATACGCCAATGAGCTCTCCGATTAACTTAATCCACTATCCGAATACCATTTCCTGGCCTCCCTCTAGCTGATAATACCCCCCCTTAATCCTCTTCCTCTGGGGCTCAGTGTTCCACACCTCTGCTCCCCCATGCATATGCGCTGCTACTGGAAATTATTAAACCCCCTCACTCAGAAGTCTAACCATGGGGGCCACTGGTTGCTCCCAGACGACTTAGACGTGGACGGAAGACGAGTTCCTATGATCTTCCCTCCTCAAGTGCCGAATGTCATCGGACTAAAATGCCGCCAATGCGGAGAACTTCACAATCCTCAACTGGACTGATACTTTATCCGCGAAATGATTCCTGGTTGCTTGCTGGAGGTGCTCCTTGTCACCCTTCTTTTCCTGAATATGCGGTAGATCCCATAGGCTGATCCGATACCTCCCAGAATGCTAGCTACCCCCCCCACCATCTTTCCCCAAGGGGACGGCCCATACGTCTCCATAGTACTATTGGTTGCGACGGTTGATCCGGTTGGATCTTGATTTCTGAGATACTCGGTGATGTTATCAGGACCTGCCTGACTAATCCTTTCGGTTGACACCTGAGCCGGCTTCTGTTGACTACTGTTATTTTGGTTTCCTGCCGTGGGTTCTTGGAAGTACCCTGTTCTTCCTGGGAGATTCCTATCTCCGTTGTGTGGGTTTTGGCCTATTACTCCACACAAGGAGCCCTGTTGATCACATTTGCCCAGATTTAGTCCCGTACTTAGTCTTAGTTCATACTCCCCTTGCTCTTGGTTGTTCTCTAAACCCGACGCTCTGGAGAATTCACAAGATACTCCTCTATCCCCCTTATCATCATCATAAAATAAGTCACTAATGACCTCATAGAGATCCGTCCCAGTCATCAGGAATCCTATACTAGACTTCTGCTTTTGATTATTGTCGGTATACCAACCCTCTAAGACTCCCTGTGCCACTTCGGCACCTCCCCATTCTTCTAAAGATTTATATAAGGCATTACAGGGATTCTGCCTCTTCAAGACGTTCGAGTCTCTTGTACCTGAACTATACATCTGGAAATGCTCCAAGATCATTGAGACTATATCCATGCAGATTCCTAGATATCTGTGATTCTTCTGCCAGGTGTTCAACTGTACCTGGTGTTGCAAGGAATTCCACTTCAATTTCTTGATTTCTATTTGACAACTCCCTGGATCCAACCTTCCTAGAGCTACTCCCTTAGCCTGGTTGGGTTTACACGCTGACTTATAAAAGACCTCTCCGTTTATATCCTTCTGCTCTAAAGCTGCCCACCAAGCTTCTAATCCGATACATATTTCCTTAGAATATCTCCACAGATTCTCCCTTGTTTGCCATTTGCTCCTGTCTATTGCTCCTCTTTTCCATGCGGTAATTTCCCTACCTTGGGCTCTATTTTGTGGTCCCTCAAATATACAAAAATCCCTCTGCCCATTCTTTTGTAGTTTGCATCTGCCCTCGGCAGATCGGGCGAGAAGCTTCTCCTCCAGATATGTCTGAAAATCCATTGTAGTCGATTGTCCGCGCCTTGTTGCCTCCTTGGAGTCTGTCTTGGGTTGAGATTCTTACATTCCTTAATCTTGGGAAATTCCTCCACATTCGTCTGTGCCTACTTGTCCTTATCTGTCCAATCTTGCCCCGCTTTCTGATTGATATCCTTTGACTATTATCTCGTCCTGTATCTTGCCCTTCAGACTCCTCTCATGAAGACGTCTCCTCTGGCCTTGAGTCGCTCCGCTCTCAGGTGTTCCTGTCCTTAACTCGCTCGGCGTCCATGTCCTGTTCTTTCTAAGTTGCTGCCTCATCTCCGTATCTCTGCCTCAGTTCCATGCATGCCTGCCAGTCCCTTACCCTTTTTCTGGGCCTGGCATGATTCTTCCGGAACATTCCGCCCTTATAGCCCCGAACTTCTCTCCGTCCTTACGGATCCCTCCCCAATACAGGGATTTACTCTCCTATTTCTCCTGTCTCTTCTCACTTCCGTTGCCGGCCGTCACTAGCTCCTCCTTCCTCCTTTGGGCTACAACAGCCCCTCCTGAGCTAATCCGTTTCACACCAGGGAATGATTCTTTCCGGGGGCCTCCGCTTTCTTCTCCTCCTGAATATTTTCCTTCTCGTGTTCAGTCCACCTTCCTAGTTGGCCTTGTTAGCGCCCTCCACTAATCTCAACGGCCTGTCCTTTATTTATTGGGGAGCCTGGTACTCCTCCTCCTTATCATTAGTTTGAGTGACGCTTGTGCAGATATCATAGTCTCCTTCACACGGCTGCTTCTCGTTTTGCCTGATCTTGCACTGTCTCGTCAGCTACCTCCACTCGAGCTCCCTTTCCCCTACACTTCCTTTCGGGAGTTCAACCCGTTCATGTACCAGATTGGATTTTTCTCTGTCCTATAGGCTTCTCACCTCCTATTGAGCCATCCTTCCGATTAGGGGGATTCTGGCCCTGTCTTGGGCTGCCTCATATTTCGACGGCTGAGATTGACTACTCTTCCTGTTGCTTCTTAACGATCTCGGAGGAAATTTTGTTCATCTCAGAGTCCTCTGATGCCAGAATCTGCATCTGGACGACATTGTCTTCATTTCCTTCGCTTCTTAGCCGACGGCGCTTCCTTGTTATTGCTCAGTAACAGTATTCTTTTGCGTTCGTGAGTTTACGCCCCATCCCGGGTTCTGAGTTGACTTGTCCCTCATCATTTCACCTCACTTCTGTTCTCTGACTTCTTGGCCTCATTTTTCTGGTCCTGTTCTTTATACTCCCTCTACCTCGTGTCTGGAATCTTTGAGCTCATCCGTTGACTAGGGCTGGTTCTTTTCAAGAAGTTTTGGCTACTTGTGTGGTGTCCTCCTTCTTTTCCACTAGGGAGTCGGGATTGGTGGTCTGTTCCTCTATTTCCTTAAATACGCCGGGTATCGCTGCTGTTCATTCTGGTTAATTCTCTAGGTCTCGTTATTTGGTCTGTACTGGACCAGACTCATTATTCATAGGCGGGGACTCCTTTTGTCTGTTTTCTTTTTGTGCTGCCTGATGCCTTCTTTCTTTATTTGTTATTACTTCCCATCCCATCCGTGGTTTACCCCCCTTATGGCTAGGCTATCCCGTCTAGTTGGCCCTAAGTTGCACTTGAGATTTTTTGTTCTGCTGGCTTAGTGTCTGCTCGTTTGTTCTATCCCGTTTGGTGTCCGCTGAAAATACTCTTACTCAATGTAATGATGCTTCCGTCCTCCCTTGTGTTTTGTTTTGGCATTTATTCTCAATCTTTTTGGGATGTTATGAGGCTTCCCCTTGTTATTACTGGGTCAGTTATTCAGATACTCCCTTAGTCCTTCTGAGTTTAGGAGTTCTTGGGGCTCCTTGCTTCTATTTATCCCTTCCCCTTACTTTACTTCTCAGCCTCTTTCTGCATAAAACCCTTTTTGTCTGATGGGGAGTGAGGTTTGGGAATCAATCACTCTCCCTCGCTGTCCTCTTCACGAATACACTCCCCCTTCCACTTCTTGGGGAGCGTCTTTCACTCTTATCGGTCACCTGCCTGCTTGGCCTTTTGTCTTCCACGGGTGCCGCTTGGTGTTGTTCATTTGGGGAGGCCTTGTCTTTTTCCCCCCCTTCGACTGGGAAACGGTTTATCCCTTGGCTTTATTAAGACTCCGCTTTAGGACTCGTCTTAGGTTTCCTTACCTTTAAGAAGTTTCAGATATCTTCTTCCTCTAGGGACGGACACGTCTACTGTTGCAGGAATTTCGTCCTTGCTTCTCACCCCTGGGCGTGGTTCTGTTACACTGGTGTTATTTTTTTCCCTAGGAACTTGATTTCCTCGGCGGCTCCCTTATTATTGGAGGTTTTTCTCTTTCTTTTAGAGTCTCATATAACCAATTTTTCCTGGCTGCGGATATCCTTCTTTTTCTGTTCCTTTCTTTCGGACCCCGAAGTTTGCGCCTGCCTGAACTGATCACCATGAAACGACTACTGCCAGATGCTTCTTCTTTTCTCGGATTTCTTACGGTGCCCTCCTGCAACCTGTCTCTAACTTGTTCTAGGGGATTTTGGGCTTACTGTCCTCATTATTTTTCCTCGTTAGTTCATTTAGGAGTTATTGAGGTTTCTCTCTCTCCAGTAGATTCTATTAAGGACTTTGTTTCCCTTATTCTTGGGGCAAGTCCTTTTCCCGCCAGTTCGGGTGTTTTCGGTTCTCTTCATTTAGTATTTGGGTTTTCCTCCTCTTTTTTGCTTGGTGGGTTCCTAGTCCATCTTACTGTCTTGGCTCCTCCTCTATTGCAATTCCTCCCTGTTCTCGGCACCTGAGACTTCTGATTTCCAACTGTTACCTTGTGTTTTAAAGGTGATCGATCCTGTGTTCTGCGGTTAGTGGAGGGTGGGTGTACTCCTCATTTCCCTCCTCTAAGCACAAGGCTCCAGATTCCGCCTTTTTTGAAGGCTATGTCAACTTGGTCTACTGCTTCCTAGGGGTACTTGTTGGTGCCGTTGATTTTTTCTTTGTTCTTCTTCTCTTGCAATTTACGCATATGGCTTGCGGTAGGACTTTTGAAATGCTCCTTGATTCCAATCTTGCCTTTGCCTAGTTGTTCCCGTACTTCCTCTCTTTGACGGATTCTGCCTTTTAACTAATGGTTGTTTGGTGTTTGCTAAGATGATTTTTCTGCTTTGTTCCTTTTCGTTATTAGAGATGTATTGCTCTAGTTGGGAAGTTTTTCTTAGCTTTGAAAGGTCCCCCTCCTGTCTAGAGGGGTTGAGGTAACTTCCCTGTCCTGGTTTCTTCTTATATTAGCCCCCCCTTTTGCCCCCTGATATTTGTTGTATCTATTCATTATCTGGAACTAATTCATCTATTGCACACTTCGTGTCCTGAGGCTTATTGGATTACTTCTTAGATTAGGATGACGAAGTGTCTTTAAGAGGTGATCTTTCTTTAATTTGTAATAATAGACGCAGAATTTGTTTTCCTTTTTAAATGTTATTTCTGTTGTGAGAGGAGATTTGTTTATTTTTTCCCCGTTCTGTACTTTTTTGGGGCCATCCTTTGCCCGGGGAAAGGATTTTTTCTGGGGAGACCATACGGATATTGGAGGGATGGATTCCTTGAGCTCCTTTCTGTTTTATCTGATGTTCCTGTTGACTAATGCTTTGGATCCTGGTTTTTTATCTTTTTATCTTTTATTTTTTTGGTAGTTTTCTGGTCGACTACTGCTTTTAACCATGGGACCTATTAAATCTGTTCTTTCGGGTCTATTCGTTCCTTATAGAGGGAAGTGAGCCCGCAGTTATTCGCGTCTGGATATTTTTCTCTTCCGTCCCTGTAGTCTCCTGGTGTTGAACTTGGCAGTATTGGAGCTCCCTGTATATTATTACTGCTTCCTAGGTTATTTGCTGCAGTTTCTTCGTTTATTGCGATTTCTGCTTTTAGTTTGTCCAGTGAGTTTTGTCCTAATCATTTACTGAGGCTGGGGAACTGATCCTAATTTATATTGCGGAGTCCCTTAGGGATCCTGACTTCGTAATACTGACTACGATTGGGTGCATAAGAAATTAGACAGATATAAAGTTTTATATTTTTTTGTGTAATCCTTCGTTTAAATTCTTATTTATGTTGTACTTCGGGTTTATGTCATTAGATCCGCTGTTTGTTTTTGGATATTGGTCGGGAATTTTTGCGAATGGGTATTGGATGATTTTGCCCTCCGGATGTTTTGGAATTGTGTCATTATCGCCTGAGGTTGCTGCTATTGAGGGGGTTCTTATATACTCTCCTGATACTTCCATCTCTCTAATAGGTGTCTTTGGATATTTTTCCTCCTTGAGTTTGTTGGGGGTGTGGCTAACTTGGAGTCCTCTTCTTATCATCCCCTTGGACCCCTCTCCTAAATATGCCAGTGATGTGGTTAATACATTTTATTTTTTGCATCCAGAGTACTGGTGTATTCTTAAGGTAACTTTACCTTAGGTAGTCTCTTCCATCCTTGTTGGTGGCCTCATTAATCTTCAATTGTTTCTTGGATTCCTGTTTCTTTCCTCTTCTCATTAGGCTTCAGAAAGGTTCTGCCTTCTTTTTCCTTTCGGTTATACGGGCTCCTTTTTTTCTGCCCTCCCCGCTGCGGTTCGTGGCCTGGGCTTTGCATCTTTGATCGGTTGTTTTATCGGGTGAGGTATCTAAGTATTGGGATCTATCTTCCTCAGTCTTATCGACTTCTCGGTCCTCTTATTGAGGACGTCCTTCTTCCACTTGTCTAAGCCGGAAAATCTGAGCCTTCGGGTTTTGGTTGTCATCCCCCAGTCCTTGTCTTGTTTGGGGGGCTTTGGGAGTTCCCCTGGAAATATAATCAAGTTCCAACCTCGCTGGTGGGTACTGCTCTTCAAGATTATTCTTGTGGCTCTCTCTTATAGGGGCGGCGGGGGTTGGGGGTGCCTGCTGTTATGACGATTCTTCGCCTATAGAGTCCTTCTGGCGGGAGAAATGATATACTCCTTCCTTATCTTAAGTTGTTGGTATAATCTGTTGTCTCCTGTTTTGGATTTTTGCCCCCTCTCCAAGCCCTCAATTTGTACAGTATTTGGGGTTTCCCTTGTTCTTCGATTTTTTCTTCGGTTCAGAGTGTTCTAGTTGTGACCTTGCCTGCATTTCCTGACTCTGGTTTCGTTGGGATTTGGTATCTCATGGAGCTATTGCTCCTCTTGGGAGGTTCCGGCGTGCTCTTTGGGTATCCTACGAGGGGGTTCCTGTCCTGCCCTTGAGGTTGTTTGAGTTGATGGAGTTCAGGAGTATAGAGCCCTGGTTCCTCCTGGGTGATCTTATTATTCCACTTAGAATGCAAAGGACTGTTACTTCTTCCATGGGATCTGTCTTCTTTACCTGCTGCATACTTTTCAGGGTGGGCTGCGTCCTCTCACGGGTTGGGTATCCTCCTGAAGAGTGTGTGGCAGAGTGTGTGGCAGAGTTTGTGCTGTCGGTTTAGGTGAATTTCTCCCCGGATCCGCTGGAACAAGGTATTGTTGTTAATTCTCCCGGCGCGGAAGTTTTGGGGTCCTCTAGTTTACCCCCTTTAGTTCCGTCTTTTCTTAGTTTTGCTTCGTATTTCTTATGCTTCTTTTTGCCTTTTGAATTTGCTCTTGGGGGGGGGGGTTGTTTTTTTCGCTCTAGTCATTAACCTTCCAAATCCCTCTTAGGCTTTATGATCGGGGGTTATAGCTTCTTTTTCTTTAATAATTTCCGGCTTCTACTCTTTCTCTTGTCTTTGTTCTCTGTTCTGTCTAGTGCTCCTCTTCTTTTTTATTTCAGGCTCGTCGAGGGTGTCCTTGTGTGGTTTCCTCAATCACTCTGCCTTGTACGGTGAATTCTACTGGAGGTATTCTCTGTATATGCCCTTTGGTTAATGCTAATCCACTAGCTCCTAGGAGTTGGTCGTCCCATGGTTAGGAATTTGTCCCGGTTATGGTATGTGTGGGGTTCTTCCTTCTTGCGACCTTTGGGTTCTCTTTTTCAGTTTCCTATTGAATGTGCTCGTGTCACTAATACCTTCATTATTTATCATTTCTTCAACTACTCCTATTAATTCCTCGCTTATTGTCCTCGCCCAGCTATTCCTATCTAACTGTTTCTATTTCTTATGAGCTGCTGCTTTTTCGTCCTTATTCTGGTAGGTGGGTTGGGGTTGAAGCTTTTTCGCTTTTTATATTATATAGGAGGCTTGTGTCCTTTTAGCCTCATGAATTATTTTATGGGCTCCATTTACTATCTCTCTCCTATATATAGATACTTCGATATCATTCCATAATGGGAAGTGTGGCTGTCCTTTGTGCTTTTCGTATCAAGGTTTGGTTCCTTATTGGCATTTACCCTTGTTTACTAACTTTATATTTTATAAGTATCTCATATATTTCCTATGGAATTCCGGGTAACTTGGTCTGTTATATATACCTATCCTTATTCATTCCACACCCCCTTTGTTTTTTTTTTATTTACTTCTTCTTTGTATATATTCTAGTATTAGTCTTAGTTCATCCTTACCCGTATTGGTTTCTTCCCTTTGTCTTGTTTTTAGCTTGTTAATAAGATATAATCTTAATTATCGTATTGTATTCCCCCCTGTTTGGATCCTTCCATGCATGGAGAACTGCATGTTTCCCCACGGCTAAATCTGTAGGATTAATTCTCTTTTGCCCATCTGCTTGTTGGTGTTTTCCTAGCAGTTTATTGTTCCTTGATTTCTAGCCCTTCGTCATGTGAAAATATATAACTGTATATTCGTCATATGGTCTATGCTTGTAGAGGGACACTTGGGGTAAAATTCGGATATTCTTCTTCTGCCCTTCCTCTCATTCTTTTTCCTTCTTGTTTCTTCCTGTTGCTTTGTCCCGTGTTCCTTCCTTCTTTAGTTATTACTGTATACTGATTATTTTAAATATCCATTTATGATGTTCATTTTCATACGTCTCATTCCTTCATATTGCTTATTAAACCTGCTCCAGTGTCTATAGTCTTCCCCTTCGGCTCTTCTCGGTACCTCCTCCTTGCTGTGTTTGCCTGTGTTCTCACTCTGTTTCCTGGTTTACACTAGTTCCTCCTATTTATGGGCGCTTATTGCTTAATCTATTTTATTATGGCGCAAATTCCATACTTTTTGTTCCCCTCCTTCTTCTCCTTTGCTTCCTTGGGTTGTCCCTCTATTTCTCTTATAATATAGACTATGTCCTATTAGTAAATTCCTAACCATTATATGATTTTTCCACGCTATGTTCTATCCTCTTGTTTATCTACTCCTTAGCAGGTCACGACAGCTGTTTTTATATCATCCCTCATGATATGCTATATAGCAAAGAAAATATCATATAAGCGACAACATTCTGTATCCAGGTATTTAAAAAGTTATTCTTCCGCCTCCTGGCGGGTAAATATATATTACGATAATGTATCGAAACATGAAGAGTTGCCTGTATATTCAGATGATCCCCACAACAACTCACCAATACTTTCGAAGATTCGGGTTAATTAATCACGTGGAATAACACACAATAGGTTCATAAAACTATTCTGCTCATTATTAAGGGAGGGGATTTTTCTATTATTGTCTATCTGCCCATATAGCATTACACTTAAACCTCATATAAAAACCATATCACTGCCAAAATGATCATGTATTTATTCACTTCTCATTTTTCAGAAGAATCTCATAACTGTATGAGCTCGTAAGACTCCTTCATAGGATATGTCCTTATGTCAATAGGGGGATGTAGTCACTTTATAGGCCCATACACTCCTATGCATAAATGGGGTTAGGAATCCCATTTAACATTCTACATCCTCCTGTGGTGTATAAGGAGACGCCTGTTATAGCATCATCTATAGTTTTAGATACAGACAAAAATGAAGTTATTGTACGATTTATTATAGTCCATGGACTCAGCACAGATTCAAGATATTATCTGTACTTACTCCTTTGGTTATATGTTAGAAAAGAAGAAACCCTTGATTTCATATATGCATTCTGTCACAGGAAAATATGTACTGCTCACATTATTCCTTAGGTACCACCCTTACTGCGTTTCTGGGTTCTATGCTCTGGGTGCAGTGTTTAATCTTCATCCCCTGAGCATCTTTCCCTGTATCCTCTCTTCTTGTGTTGTCTTTTCTGTATGTATTATCTATGTACTTTTCCCTTTAGACCTTTCCACTTTGATCGTCATGTTGATATCTCCACTGGTTTTTGGTGTATTTATATGCTCTTACATATATCTCTTTTCGTTTCCTGAAGTAGATAATTTCCTCAAATATGTCAGTTGTATTCGTATATACATTCTATTATAGTCATCGGCTCGTATATGGTTGCTCCCCCCCTCTTTAGCTTAATGATTCTTTAATATCTTATGTGTATTCTTATGCTTATTTTATCCCCTTGGCGCCTTCTATGTTATTATTATTCCTAACTCTCCACGAGAAACAGCCCGTTCTATATAGTACTATTCCTTTTATAATCTCCTATTCCTTTTTAGAGTATAAGAAATTTAATCTTTTATTTTACATAATTGTTATATTTTAATAGTACCCCATCGATCTCGAGTTTTCTTAGGAGAAAAATATTACAGATTAAGGCGGATGTGCAAATGTTCCGTAATCATTTCTTCTTAATAGTACCCGGATAATTATTGAATCTATATTACAATAATATTGAGAGGGAATAATCACAGTTCACGACGTATTACTGTGCTTACAATGTTACTTTGCCTATAAAAAGTTCTTCCTATATATAAGCACCCTCGGTATGTTGAAACCCCTTTTAGTGATAGTATCCCTCAGTTTCCTATACAGCATGAATAGCTTTAGGATTGGTATATGCGTATTCATGGAATGGAATTATTTCACAAGCCAGTGTATTGGTGAAATGGTATGATCTTTACAAGGGCCGTCCTTCTCAAGGAATTCGACTCTCCAAACCTTTGTATTATCTTAAACAATTTTCCTCCTCACACAACACTGTCCTACATAGAATATTACACTTGACAGAAGCTTATCCACTAAACAGTTGTTGTAAGGCCGATTCCTACAGTTAAGTCAAATATACCGCAGTGATCATGTATCTTGTATATATTTGTAACGCTTAGTGATTTGAACCCCTCCAAGAATTCCGCTGAATCCACTCTATTATCTCTTACTAAATATCTCTTTTTAAATTATGGTGCCCCCTGCTTTAAATCTTAAGGACTCAACAATAGGAACTCTCGGGATTGTCCTACTGTTTATGCAGTGATACTCTAGAGAAATGTCTCCTTCTCACATACTTAATAATGGTCGCGAAAAATATACTCCTTATACATTAGTCTTCCAAGGAAGTGTATATCCTTCGCCTCATTCTATTCTTCAAATAATAGCACCTGTTGTCCTAACTTCTCCATATAAACGTATTCTAGTCATAGAACCCGCACGATTTTGTTCCTGATATCATGGTTCCCCATGGAGATGTGTTATCTTCAGGCTCTAATAGTCTCCAAATAAAAAAACTGTAAAATATGAACCTCGTGCAGAATAATATTCAGGAGACATGTATACAGTACACAAAATAATACTGGAGGTATAGACTTATGGTTCATATAATAGGACTTTATGCTAAGCGTACATTCCACAGGCCCGTAGTCCTGGGGGGAGCGATATTTTTTAAATAATACTACGCATAAATCATTATTCCTCAATTAGTCACGTTCTCCAATTAGTCGTATCTAAAACGCTATGTTATGAGGCCTTCACATAAAAGCATTCCTGCGACACTGTACATTACAAACAGCATTTCCGCTAGAATCCTTGCATTGTCCATATGCAAGTATTTCTGCTTCTATTGTATTACTCCGGTAATAATACATTCGACACAGCTATAGCGCTTGCACCTGCTCGTGATTAATGGCTTGCTCTTTTGGTTAGAATTTAGCCCCCAATTGTTCACATAATACTATTTCATAGAGATCTATACTCATCAATGACTGGTGTCGCCCAAAGAATAGGAACCGAAATTTGGAAGACATAGTCCGCAATTCACACACTTTTGCATTTTCGATGGGAATATTGTAGGAAAATCCTTATCTTTCAAAGGACGGTTTTTGAGAATATCCGTATCCCTCATACAATACTGTATTTTGAATATCATTGCACTCCACAGAATGCCACTTCTCATTTTCCCTTCTCCTTACATATCATATGAGTGCAGGAACAATAATTTCTTTCAAATGAATGTGCTACAACCTCTGTGTTAGTTATAAAATATTTTCCCTTCCTTACAATAACAGCATAACCGGTAAACCTATACAATAATATTCCTGATACAGCTGTATTCTTTATCAGCATCGACACTTTAGACACATGTGTACTGTTTATATCATCATACCTTCCCTATAATAATACACCCAGTATATTCGTCTACTTCTTACAATGGATTCCTTTATACATTACCATCCTTGCCAGGGACGACGGATAAAGTTAATGATACGGCATGCATGTCCATACACTTTAAATGATAGTACTCCTTGTACAGTAGTACTCATTCTACAATGTTATGCTTAATATATTGATACTCCACAAACATCCCCACTATTCACATAATAGTACTCTGGGAATGTTACCAGTGGGAGCGAATAAGTAATTCTTAGACAATACTCCTTCACGCACATGTGTACACTTCCTGCAAAGGTACCCTCCTAATAATAGGGGTTCACACATTATACCTCTGTTAACATAATAACACTCCAGGGAGTGCTATTAATTCCGGAATAGGGTGCTTTCCCTATAATAGAAGCCTAAACAATAGGCCATGAGGTTCCACCTCTTTTAATAATTGTGCATGGGGGGTATCCAGAATCCCACCACAATTGTGCACTCCAGGACATCACACTAGGGAGATATGAGTACAATCACAAGACTGCGCCGCAGATCATCGGTATGTTTTATAGAATTATGCCCCTAAATGGACAGTACTTTGGAGATATCAGTAGAGATCAACCATTAATACATTGATATAACAGTACTACGAGAATTTCCGCATTCGTCATCATGGGAAATGGGAACACATCAATACTTCCTTGTCATCTACCCTTGTAGAATATGCATCCACTTCATAGAATATTACCCTACGAATAATGACACCCCTCGAAAATCAGTATTCTTGACACTATAATACGGTTAACATTATTGTAGCCCTGGCATAGCTCTACTGTTTAGACAAAATGTTTGGAGGCCAACTGTCGGATCTGCAGAATCGCCCAAGTTAGATCATCCAGTCATTAAACCAACATGACAACCCTTCAAATAATGGTATTCCAAGGACAGTTGTACTCATCAGGACAAACTATTCTGTACATAACATCAGTGCTCTTCAAGTAATCGTGCAATTCACACATCCATGAGTCCCACAAAAGTGTACCTCCCATACGGAGGTACTATGGCAACTTCCACACGTTGCGTAACGGTTGGCCCTCCTCATACGGCACAAAGCTAAGTCATAAATTCTACACTTCCCCTTACATTACTTAATACTATGGGATTAACTTTACCACTCATCGAATGGCATCGTACCAGCCATATCAGTCATCTTTAGATATGAGTACTATACATACATCTATAGTGTCCCCATAACAGTACTCCAAGTCATGAATACTCCTTCAGCGAATATCATGTTCAAATGGAAGTATTATCCACAAAACAGTACTGTAAACAGGACGGTACTTTGTGTATTATCGTACTTTATCAAAGAATTGTAGTCCAAGGGTAATCTTACTCATAAAGGCAGAAAACTCCATATATCATGGTTCCGTCTGTATAATAGCACTCAAGGTGATCCATATAGATCCACTACTTCTACCTTTACAGAACAGTACTATGGGGACTTCCGGATTCCTCACCATTGAGAAAGTAGAGACAATGGTACTCCCTAAACAATAGTTATACTGGAATATCCATGGACTTCACAGAATAGGGCCGTCCATGTAATGAAAGAATAAACCATGAATCCTTCACATACAATAGTACATGCACCACTATACTCGTCACATAATAGTAGTACACTTATATCCACGCACATTACTAGGAATGGAAATCAACACCAGTATTGTACAAATAATGGTACCCCAAGTCCACTTGTTCTCTTCAAATACTAATACAAGGACGGTGTAAGTACTCTCCACATGTAACTACTACGAACACGTCGGTATGTTCCATATACCGTGAAACCGCACGATATTCTTACCCCTTACACCGATTGGTTCTTCAAATGAGGGGACTCCAGGCAAAAGGGTACTGTTCAGATAACAGTCCCCCAGGACATCCCTACCTCTTATATGGTACTGTATTCAAGATGCTGCTGAACTTCACACAATGGCACTCTCCATTTACTGACGCTTTCGATATTGAATGAACGCTGGTATATTCGTGCTCCTCAAATAAATTTGTTCCAGCCGGTTTGGAGGGTTCAAATCATTTAGTTGCTCCTACATTACTTGTATTATTCCTCAACCCCCATAAAATGATATCGCTGGTATAGCTCTATACTTCACAACCACTAACACTTGCGATATATTCCAGCGGCTTACAAACTTCTTCTCCTTATATAATACTACAACACGTATATCTGCAAGCTTCATCCAATGATTTCATTCATATAATAGTATTCTTGAAAGACACATAAAGTGCAGAAATAATATTAGCTCGTGCATGGGAGTACTATTTAAATCATAGTCCTCCGGGCACAGGTATACTCATCCCCACGATGTTATTTCTTCCATATCAATACTTTGCAAACAAGCAGACTATTCATATGATAGTACTCTGGGAATATCGACACTTGAAGTTAAAAAGTTATTCTCACACAAGCGTAATCTAAGGATATCCCTACACATCGTATAGGGGTGTTGCTAAAATCATGAAGCATTACGTAATGCACCACTCTTAATATAATAATACTTCAGGGACTGCTAACAGTCCGTAACAGTAGTGTTCTTTGTATAATAAAGTTGGGAATGCTGGGCCTCGATGTTTAGACTCTTCACATAATCGTGCTTCAGGCACATCTATAATCTGTGCACCATTGTGTTCCCTAAATGACGCTATTACGCACATATGAGTATACTCACAAAATACGGTTGAAGATTATGCATACTTCTAACCGAGGTATTTTACTGAAACATCAATGCACAACAGATATTACCACAGCTCAAGTATTAGTACATTCATATAAGAATACAAGACGAGACTTCGACAATCTTCGCCATTGGAAATCCATACACATCCGTATTGTGCACGCAATTGCTTTGCTTCCATATCCGGACACTAGACGAAATAGTGCTTTCTAGATGACACTTGTGAAATATCAATATCTCACACAAACACGTACGGTTCATATCAGAATACTCTTGGCACCATAGTACTATCGAGACAATGGTCTCCGTAACATTTATTAAAGGTTGTACAATCCCGTACTTCATATAATTGGCTCATTAAACTTAAATAAACCCCCCTTAGCTAAAGGCGATTCAGAGACAGGCATGCTCATCTAGTGAAGACATTCGGTAAATAACCGTACTATTGTTCGAATGACGCAACATTGAAGAGGACCCTCCTGTTCACACCATAGTATCTCTCATATAGGACTATTACGGAAAGCGTTATACCGTCCATGATGTAAGTCTCTGCATAGGATAAAACATGATGCCATATATCTTATCGACTTTAACATACATTACTTCACAATACAGTGGTAAGTTTGTCACTCTTCGAATAGGAATGGACCAGGCATGTTAACAATCTTCGAATATGAATACCGCATATACTCAAGTACTCTTCACAAGATGATACTTCCAGTCATCGATACTTCCCATACGACTGTAACCTTCGAGGGGAGGTATAATCCAAAGAGAAGTATTGTTGACATAACAATATTACCTCCACACGCATACTTACCAACAAGTAGTACCATAGATATAGTCCAACTAATGAAGCTACCTAACGGGAGAGACGATGCTATCAGTAGCGCATCTTCCCTCCTTCAAGATCAATAGTGGAGACAAAAGAGTACTCTTAAAATCATCATACTCCTGGAGTAGGCATACTCTCTAAGTAATAGTCCAAATGAGCCCTAGGAACTCCACAATCCCGCAAGTTATGTAGTGAGATCATTAGACTTACCTCAAAACACATCACATCCTGATAACCCAAGGATAGGCTTATTCCTCGAGGTACCACGCCCCCCAAATAACAGTAGTTTTCTTCAATTGAGAGGCAACTTGACACATGAGCGCACTCGATACAGGAGTATCGTTCACATAAAAATAATACCGGAACTTGTTCATTCTTCATAAGATACCTTTTCCCAAATGATAAGAGGTTACGCGAAATATATCCTATCACCCGAATAAATCACTTAAGACGAATTCTTCAACTTCGGTATTCTCCAGATAGCGATATGCCAAACACGTCAGTTAACTCCTGATATCAGTACTAGACATTCGTGTGTACTCTCCTCATATTGGCATTGCAAAGCATAAATATTTATTAAGAGACCGTGCTATTCAAATAGAAGTATAATCCACATAAAAATCCCCTTAACAAGAAGATATTCCTGGGAAACTCGTACTCTTCCATAACAGACTATTTTGGATATAATGATATTCATTATGGCAGGACGCACAATACATAGGGGTACATCTTAATAAGATTGCACTGGAGGTGATGCAGACAGCTGAGGTAGTGGGACGTTATTATAAAAGTGCCATGAGAATCTCGGGATTATGGACTATTCAAAATCCGAAAATGTTAGTACGGTTTATGTAGGAATTCTAGAATATTCATGCAGTTCACATAACCGTACTACACGTGCATCCCCGGACTGTAGCAGTGTCAGCAGGCGACACCAGTATTCTGGAAGGAAGAGTACACCAAGTGGCCCTGTTCCCCTGGTGTAAGGAAACGATAAGCATGTGAGTACTTTGCACATATGAGTAGTACGGACACCTAAATAGGCTTCCTACAATAACCCTCCAGGAAAATCCTTACCCTTGACGCAATTTTGCTGTCCATTTAACAGTATTACCCACGTAAGACTATTTTTCACATAATAGTATTCCATGCACATCATGACTTTTAAAGGAATAATACACCAGGGATAAGAGTGCCCTCTCACACATCGATAGATTATTCATGTTTAGTAATGCTACCACATGAGTATGGTCATGCTATTTATACTTCACATACGTGGCCATCCTCATAAATAGCCAAAGGAAGGAAATATCTTTATAATGGCTTCACATAGAGAAAAAAAAAATAGGTCCATCAGAAGGTTAACGAAGAAAAATCTCTAATAGAAGACAATGACATACAATACAACCTATCCGGAAGACTACAGGCAGGAGGGCTTTTTCACAATGATGTAAAGTGAAAAAACATTTCCACAATAATGGATGCAAAAGAAAATCTTCAGAGGGACGAAACCGAGAAACGTCGAGGAGGTACCAGGAGGAAAAAGAATCTTCATAAAAAAAATAAAGAAACCAACAACATCTTAACGATGCCGCGGAAAACGAGCATATTCATAAGGAAAATCAAACACCAGAGGAGATCTTCAAAGTGCCGCAAAAAAAGTACATGGTCGTAGAAGACATGACACACAAAGAAAAGTCTTCATGATGTCGCGGGAGGAGGCAGCATCCATATAAAAAAGATGACACAGAGAAATATATTCAAAATTTCGCAGGAAAGAAGCATAATCCGAATGTCGCGGAAAGCATGTATCCTCATAAGAAAAATGCCTCACAAAAAAATCCCTTCGCCGCCACATCCTAAATAAAAAAAGCATATTTATATAAAGAATTCAGGCAGAAAAATATCATCGATATAACGCGGTAAGAGGAATCTTCGTTAAAGATATGGCACACAAAGGAAAATTCTCATAATTGACATGGCAGGAGAAACCTCATCAAGGCATCCGAAGAGAAAGCTATCGTGAGAAAAAAAATGAAATACAAACAGGAATCTTCATAGTGACACGGCCGGAGAAAGCATCTCTATAAGAATAACCAGGAAAAGAATATATTAAAAGTAGTTCTGGGTAAAATGAATCTTGGAAAAGAATATCCCCCACAGAGAACATACACCTCACCATGACCAACCCTAAAGGAAGAGAAATTCATAAGAATGGAACAGGAAATATCATCCTGAAAAAGAGGCTACACACAAGAACGTCTTCATATTGACGCAACAGGGAGGATGTAGCTATGCGAAAATGTAACACAAAGAAGCATTATTATAGTGATATGTCAGATATAAGGATCTTTAGAGAAATGCAATACACAGAGAAAGTATCAGAATGCCGTGGCAGAGCAGTACACATGACAGTGACGTGACACCACAAGAGCACAATGATCCGGAGGGAGAGCACCATAACAATGCAGGAGAAGAGATGCAGCATGATGAAAAAGCTACCACAAAAAGAATCGTGATAAAAATACAGCACATAAAGGCATCTTCATAGAAATGCCAAGGGAAGTGGTATCTTCATAGAAGTGCTGCGAAAAATGTCATTATAAAGGAACCCTCCAGAGAATTCTCGTCAAAGAGATGCCGCAAAGAAGTGTATCCTCATGAAAGAATTAAGTAGAGAAATATATATAATAAAGCCAAAGAATACAGCGCGCGTGCGACGGGTATAACCCATGAAGGGAACCCCGCAAAAAATTGATCCACATGAAAGGACTTTGGGAAGGAAGCCACATGAAACCGGTCCGCGAAAAATTACGCCACCTAAAACTACGTTGGCAAAATTAGGCCACCTAAAACTACGTTTGCGAAATTACGCCACGTGAAGCCACCTTTGCGAAATTAGGCCACCTGAACTGGCCTATCTAGGGAGAGGGCGCCATGAAAAAATACTCTCATAAAAGTGCAGAAACATGATAAAACGGACTCATGGGGATGATACAACACGAAGGCGCAGCAACAGGTACTATGCGGAATGGGAACTGATACGCAAGGAAGCTGCGATATGAATTAACATACTTATAAAAATGTAGAAACGGGAAAGGAACATACACAGGAAGAGTGCAGCGTGCAGGGGGATACTGGTGAAAATATCAAAAAATCAAGGAACACACTGACAGAAAGGATGGAGCATGAGAGGACATTCACAGATATAACGTAAGTATGAAAGAAGCCATATGAACACGACCACGCATCATCTCACGGTGTACCCATTGGAATTGCATATTTGTATTCTGTTGCACTTATAGCAGTTTCCACAGAGAGGCATGAGCGTATTTAAACGCTATAGGAGCCCCTTCAATTGTATGCAACATACTATTAAAGTTCAATATAAAATTGGAACCAATATTATACCAGTTCGAATTCAGCAATCCATTACTCCATATATGCATAAGGAAGAAAGGTCCTGAGCAATCGTATAATTTTAAGGAGTAAATTTTTAGGCCAAATGAATAATCTTCTAATCGAAATCTCCATATAATGTTAAGTGCTTTCTCTTTTTCCGTAAAAAGGTGTACCATCGGTACTATTATCTTTCCTTTTCGTTGTCTTCTCGGGTAGCTCTCTTCTGTAGGACAGCAGATGGGCAGCAGAGTTCACCAGGTTATCACTTCTTATTTTTATGACAGAGGAACTGATCCCATATATAAGAGGCAAGAGATATACAGATATGTATGTATATTCATGGGTATATATATGTTCCATACGAAGGTGTAAAGAGCTCAAGAATACATAGGCTGTTATCGATAAATGATAGCAATGTATACAGGTATCTAAATTATGTGTATTTTCTCAGCTATTATCTCCCTTAGGACTCTCGAAATTCATTCATCGTTAGTTTACACCCATAATGTAAATTCCCTTAGAGCTTCTAAGAGAGAAATGCTGTACGTTTTTCTTTAATTTATTATAATTAACGATATGCAAAATGGAAGACGTCGTTATATTTATGAATATCTGTCTCTCTTAGTGTCTGTTCATAATTCAATACTGCACTTTTTCCACCATCTGTATGATATATTTCTTGTAATATATTATTACCACTGTGAAAATTTAATGACAACCTGGGAAAAGAACAGTATATAGTCTTGCCTCTATATGCTCGGAAGAATACAACACGATGCAAAATAAATAACATTCCATATACGATAGGTTCTATCTACCGCAGAAAATCATTCTTCATATAATTTGCAATTACTTTCAAATCCATCACAATCTAAATTTATATAACTGCTTCGGCCCATTCTTTTCTTAATGTACGTAAAAAATAAGAATGTTTCTACTTCCCTTATTCTTTGAAGTGTCTCTGTAATTAAATATTAAATATTTAGAAAATTACCCTTACTCGAAAGAATTAAATTTATAACAGAAACAGATCTGTTATTCTTTTTACAAGAAAGTCTCAAAAAAAAAAAAAATAACAAGCGCTAAGCTTAATAATTAATTATATCTCAGAAAGAAAGGTATTGTTCTTAGCTCCTTCACTCTGTAAAATTATATACTTCTATAAATACGATAATACCTAACAGTACTTTTATAATATAAACACATTAACCAGAAAAATAGAAAAAAAATCTTAAGCAGTCTATTCTGGGCTCACTTAGTACATAAGAAGAAGAGCATACTTCAATATTTATCGCACCCACTGGAATTTCTTAAGTCCTTTATGTTATCCTTATAGGAAATATGATGAGAGATATACGTTCATTGTAAAAGGGAAAATAAAAAAGAATATTTACACTCTTATGTAAAATTTCTCGCAGACACTCTTAGGGTAAGAAAAAAATAGGACTCTTTCAACATATAAGGCGCTCTCTAAAACCTCATATCGTTTGCCTATTTTGAGGATCTTTTCATTTGTAAGCGCCAACTAAAATATATTTCCACATATTGCGAAATGGTGGAAGCCACAGGTTATATGTGATTATGCACATATACTATACAGTGTTCGACAAATTTGTAAAATAACCATAGAGGGAAACCTTCCATAATGGTGTTTTCCCTAATCAGAATTATGAGACGACTT